GAGGTAGAAGAATTCTGATTCTTGCACTTCTTCTTTGAAGGGCTGACCTCAAAGGTTGAACCTTTGATTGACCATCTTCCACTGACTTGAGTTGACTTTCTTGAGTGAAAGATTCTTCATTAGATCCAGTGATCCTGTCGAACTGCCTTAGTGAACTTAGACCATTGAATGAGGTTTTTCCCATCAAGTTTAAACTCGTTTGGTATGTTTGACAGCTCTAGATATAATTTAGAATGTTTTGATGATGAAGACGTTGATGAAGAAATCATATCAACCACTTCTAACATAGAAATATCCACTCCTAAAATAATAGACTTCACTCTCATCTTCTATGTAGAGAGACGAGGCCTAATAGAAGAATAATAAGGCCTAACAACAAATATGAGAGAAAATCCCCTTGTTAGACACTTGAGGACAGCAAATGTTGTTCTCTCTCCAAGATTGTGAGGAGAGTTAAATATATCTTGTATCTTGTGGCGAGTAGGAAGATTTTTCTCAGAGGAACGTTCCAAGGATCAATAGGGTTGGAACAAACACAACTAGTTGGATCTGATACCATGTTACGATTTCACAACTGTCGTAGATGGAATTGCAGCTGCTGAATTCTCTTCCTTGTCGGAGAGAGAGCCGTTGTGGCTCTAGGGTTTGAGAGAGAGAGAAAGAAAGAGCAACTTCGTCAATTTGAAAAAGGGGCGGATACTGCTTTATATACATGATCCACCAGATGGGTTGGATCCATCTTACCGGGTTCACTTATACCCCGAACCTGGTTACCCCAACAATATAGTGAGAAAAATGGGGTTCTATAGCACTGAATATATGCGGAAGGTCACTGCCAACCAGGTTCAACTATTGTAGTTCGTCGAGAACCATCTCCCCTATTTATAACTGTGTTACACCCTGCATCAGCTCCCTATTCTTCTTCCATCACCGTTGTCCTTGAGATTCTTTTTTATTGAGTAAGAACGTTTGAAAGCCCAAATCTGGGCGAAGCTTATCGTTTTGTTCAGGTCACATACGTCTCTCAACTGAGAACGTTGCTTTCAGGCTACAGCCTCACCAAATCTGCGCGATTGGCAGGACCATAGATTACTGTGAGGGTTTGTGAAAGTCACAGACGTTACTCAGCCGAGAACGTTGGTTCAGTCTGCAGCCTCACCCAATCTGCGCGATTGGTAGGACCATAAATTACTCTGTGAGGGTTTGTGCTTTATCACGATGTAATAATGCGTAGTAAGCGTAATTGAAAGCTCCACAGGATTTTCGTCTTCTTCCGTTTACCGCGCTGCTGTACTCGACAACAAAGCTGACGACAGCTTCGATGTTCAGGAAAATCTTCATAAACATTCTCACCAGTCCAGAACTCAAGGAAGTTTGGTGTGGGCACCGGCCACCGTAGTAACAAAGGCCAAACCCTGTCCTCCGTTTGGTGTTATTCAGCTGCAATGAAGATTTATTTTACACGCTTTCATTGTAGATATTAGTTCGTAGATTGCACAACCCTAGAAGTAGCCACCGAGCATGGTTATGAGAGAGTGACTACCACGCTGTTGAGGAGACGAAATTGGGGACCAATCAAAACCTAAAGAAAATCTCTTCCGATTGCTGTGTGAAGTCTGTTGTAACATGTGGAAAGAAAAATAGGGGAGAAGACTCCACATGGTTAGTCCCATATCGGACATTGTTATAGTGCGACCCCATCACGCCCATAAGTAATGGGCCCTACTCTCCCGGTCCAATGAGCTCCCCAAATATATAAGTGGGAAGAATGTAGAAATACATTAGCTCCCCCTTGGAATCGCCGCTCCGATCCTATCAAAGTTTAGGTCTGTGCTGTCGCATTTGGAACTGGTTATTACTCAAGGGCTTGATCAGCCATAAATGTGTAAGTTTCTATCCAATCAAGGGAGTTAATGTGCCGATTTCTGAAGGACGAGGTTCCAGCAACTGCAAGGGAAGGGATGCACCCCGGCACTCGTCGAACGTTTTCTTCTGTGTTTTGTATAAGCCGAGCCAACACAAGATAACTGCTTGGTGTTTTCCTATGCACAAAAAAGTGACTAAAGATATACAGTGAATTATACATTTTTTTTATCAATATTCAGCATTCCTATATTCTATAGAGGTCATTTTCTTTTTGTATCTCCGTTTAATGAAAAACCTGACGGAATAAACTCGCCACGGCGTTTCACAGTTATTTTCCATATGGTTATGGGCTCCGACCAGCGAGTGGAGGAATTAAGAATCCTGAAACAATCACGTACTTCAAAAGCTGCCGATGATGAAATAAAGCAACGATCCAGTTGGTGCGGGCAACATTATTTCCAATCTCACTGTTCTAAAACAGGATGTCCACAATTTACGACAGCTAATGGTGGACGGCATCTTCCGGAAGGACCATAAAAAAATCATAAATCAAAGAGACCGAAATCTATAACCTGGTATACCCAATGACTGGCAGGTCTATGGTCCAAAGGGGTTATACCACTCTATCCCTGCAAATGTTGCAAAGAGCTGCCAACATACTACTCAATCACGTCCCCATACGGAATGAGGACGAAAGTTGTACATTGACGAGAAAAATCTGCTGGTGACCACGGTGGATCCTGGTATTACCCTGCCAGAGCCCTTAGACTCCAGGCAAATTATTTTACCACTGAAAGTTGTCATAGGAGTTTCCCCGTCATCAAGTCGTCGTTTCGTGTAGTCGTCTATAATTAGAACCCCGAATGCTAAGGCATCGAGAAAAGATGATATCAGGGAGAGAATGTTGATCATTCGATAACACGAGAGTTCATACATGGCTTGCCTCGGCCGAATAAGATAACACGAGTAAACTGTTCCCGAAACGTCAGCACACTGGTTCAGAGTAGGAAAGTGGACACATGAATAACCCTCTATGAAGCAGCATATCCAGTCCAGGGTAAGAAACTCGTCTATGTGTGTGCGTAGCAAAGTTCAGACAGAGAAAGTCGCACATCCCAGACGCCAATGAATCACCTACGTTGCTCTTCATCTCGACTCTGCGCGGAAAACATTGAGCTAGGACTACTGAAGCATATTACGAGGGCTCCTCTTTGCTCTAGACCGGTAGACTGTCGATTCAAGGCGTAGTCGGGACCGGAAATGGTAAGGCCGGCGTGGACATTTACACTCTTGTTCTTCAACCCTCAAACGTCTGAAATTGAGTGCACATTCAAGCAACCTTTAATTTGGTGGCCGTTTTCCTGCACCAAAGCATCACCAAAGAACATTCAATGGTCGAGTCGTCTAGCCACCACTGTGGCGAAACGCTTAATTCAACAAATTAGCTTCCTCAGCCCTAAAGAAGTCATGCTGGCTCTACAGGTCGTAGATGTGTCGAAATATAACATTGTTGAATAAGTCCGGATCGCTACTCTGTTCGATGAAATGATATTGCTAAACCGCAAAGTTTAAATCATAGTTTCATGGCCGACACTAACACACCAGAAACGTGAACATGATTTCGTGCTTTGATTGTTCGAACTTTCCTCTGATTATCAGAACCCGACTCCGTGGTGCTAGCTCACATTTCTTAAATCTCTGTCTTCCGTCCCATTGTACACGAGATTAAAGACCGAAAAACGGTCCTTGTATGTAATCACTACTTTTACCCTCTATCAATTTATACATTTACACATTCATAATTTTTGTCCACGTCGAAGTAAAATAGAGGGATTTTGTTCACGCACTGAAAGGAATTGCGACACTTTTCACGTTAGAGTTTTCTCTGCTTTTATCTACTGTGTATATTTTTTGGAAACGCAAACAATAATCCTTGTGGTTAATCGTAATAAATGGTAAATAAGGATTGTCGTAAAACAATAAAACGTTCTCAAATGTGGGAATAGTTGATTAAAATTTCAACGTCCGGATAGAAGCCTAAAGAGGAACGAAACACATCATCAGCTTTTGAAAACGTCTGGATTTATAAAATACACTCTAAGCGGAAAGAACAAATGGACATAATAAAAAAATAGACAGTGGAGAAATCGTAAGAATCCTAAATTTACGTCAACTAAGGAGATCACCAGACTAGATTTTTTTTATAAAAAGCTAAGTAAAAAATAGTAATATGTGAATACTGGAAACTGCTAGTTTTAAATACGAGTATTAGTAGTACCAAGTCAAGCATTCTCTTCTTGTAGAAAACTGTCAGTTCAGATCATCAAGCTTACTACTTCATTACAACTGTGATTTGCTTGTTGCTGAGAAGAGCCGGAAGCGGTTTGTGTAATCCACCTGTTTCGCACGTTACGACTGTCCAAAGGCACAGCTCCTCCCAATACCTAGGTCCGATCTGAATCACAGAAGGATGGTTGACCTAGGGCCGGATTTTCTTGAGCGGAGTTCGTTAGGCGGCTGTCCAGTGGATTTCCTGAGTCTGAATTTTTTAGTAACAGTCGTAAATTTAATCTTATTACAGGCTAATATAGTTCAATTCGACAATCTGAGCAATGCTGTTTCGCAGCTACAAATCCAGACGTGTATGAAATATCGATCGAGACACTAAGAATTCGGCTGCTATCAGGGCTTACTTGAAGTGGAATACGGTACACTGTCGTGTATGGCAAGGGTTGTAGCTGCAGAGCAGCCGCTACTCGGTTCTTCCGTCATTTTAATATCAAATTTGATTGTTTAAACGGTCATTAGGCTTAGGACGAATGGAAAACGGTCATGAATGATTTAACTGACCTAAATGTGTCTCAGGAAGAATGTCTTCGCAATGTGCAGTATTTTCTCTTCTACTCTCAAATGACAATAAAGCATGATCAACACAAGATCTGGTGCGGACATTTCTGCACCGGCCTCCTGCATATCAACAAACGCCTGTTGTTAAACGGAGAACAAGACTGTTCAAACCCGGAAGCCTACATTATTGATGTCGTTGACACAGACAGATGTTGATCCGTGGTCTACGAAAAAGTTTTTTGTCGGCAGATATGCTGTAGATAAACTGCACAGAATCCTTAGTATACCTACAAAGTTGGGAAAAGATTTAGCGATCGAAATTGAAACATGAAGACTCGTAAACATAGAGGATTGGAGAAATTAAATAGCTGATCGGAACTTACGGTAGTCACCAGTTTAATCAACATCAAGACTCGTAGCTTGTTTCACTAACTGCGACCATTCTGTACGGTCTACGTATTTGGATGGCTCCAGTTGGTTGGTCAACTGCTCTCGCTGGAACTCTGAGTCACATCCCCAGTATGCTATAAATGTGAAAGCCACCTCCGACCCACTGAGAGCCAAGGACCCAGTCTCCTTGGAGCAACGTACGTTCACGCAGAGAACATTCCTGTCCGCTGAGGTCGGTTCATTGTAACATCTAGGTCTGCATCGGGAACTATACATCTTGGATTAGAGATGCAGTATGCATGAATGCGACTCTTCTCTCTGTTGCCTATAAATACGTAGTACCCAAATCGAACCTGAGAAACACAGACTCTCTCTAGTATTCCGCTGGTGTAAATTCGCACACATTTCTCTCGGGAGGTTCATAGACACACGGCCTATACGTCGTCATGGCTACCAAAGCTAGCGCCGTCACGGTAGTCGTATTCCTGAACCTTCTCTTGTTGACCTTGGTTTCTGCCCAAGGAAGACCCCAGATGCCTGGGCGTCCTTCTCCACCTCCACTCTCTCCGCCGCCACCACCTCCCTCTCCTTCGCCCCCACCTCCTTCTCCGTCGTCTCCACCTCCCTCTCCTTCACCATCACCTCCTTCTCCGTCGCCTCCACCACCCTCTCCTTCACCCCCACCTTCTTCTCCGTTACCTCCACCTCCCTCTCCTTCGCCGTCGCCTCCACCTCCCTCTCCTTCGCCGTCGCCTCCACCTCCCTCTCCTTCGCCCCCACCTCTTCGTCGTCGCCCCCACCTCCTTCTCCGTCGCCACCACCTCCTTCTCTGTCGCCTCCAACCCCTTCTCCTTCGCCACCACCTCCCTCTGCGTCGCCACTACCTCCCTCTGCGTCGCTACGACCTTCTCCATCGCCGCCACCTCCCTCTCCGTGACCACCACCTCCTTCTCCGTCGCCACGACCTCCCTCTGCGTCGTCACCACCTCCCTCTCCGTCACCACCACCTCCACCAAGCTCCTGCCCTGTTTTCCCCTTGAGATTGGGTATGTGTGCTCCCGTTCTCAGGGGGGACACCGGAAACCGTTTTGGCACGTTTCCCGAGGTTCCTAAGGGCTACATTGAGGAATCTTGGACATATTGCTCTAACAGTAACCATGCTACATTGAGGCTCCTCGGGCTTAGAGTCAGGATCCCCGGGTACGGTGCCCGGCTTCTCAGCTTCTGCGGAAAGCCTGTGCCACCGGGCTTCCACGCGGTGTTCTCGTCATTTCTGAGAATAAAATGCACAGCAGGTGTGTGTGCCAGTTTCCACGCGGACGGTAAAGGCGCGAGCGGTATGGTGGCGCCGCCTAAATCCGGGCTCCCGGGGGAGGGAGGGGGGCGGGGGGAGCGGAGGGCGGAAGAGGAGAGCTAGGCGAAATTTCTGGCGTGTTCAGGCTTTGTCATTGCCCCCTGATATCAGTAGTACTTTATTTCGAAAAATTTCTCTTACTAATTATCTAATTTATTTTAGAAGTAAAATTAATGCAAAGATTTTAAATCCTATTCTTATAAATGACTCGATTCAGTTTTTCTTTTATTACCGGTCCCAATATTTTTTACTCTCATAAATCAAAAATCATATATACTGAATAGAATTTCGATCACATCACTTTTGCAGTTTAGAGTCTTTCATCATCCTACACAGATGAAATCAAATCTCTCCTACATACTTTCAATCAAACCTATACTTTCAATCTTATCTAGATCATATCATGGTCAGGTTAAACGCCTCATTATTATGCACTTTTGTCAAAATATCTTTACAACTTCAGATTACAGAACTATACATATATCACTCTTAAAGTTTAATATCTCTTTCTTTAATTATTTTACATTATAAGGGAGAGCACAAATTACCAAAAAAAAGAGGGAGCAGAAATAAACGTGATTTCAAAAAATGAGAATTCATAGTTGCTGAATGCTCTACATCAATTGATATTTGAAGAATAGTTTCCTACGATAATGAATCAATTGATACTGATGTTCAAATTTTAAATAGATTCAGTGAGATACATTTCAAATGACATATGAGATTATAGATTATTTGAGGATCAATTAGAAACCAGAAATATCTTGGTGACAGAGATTTGGCTTGAGAACTTCTTGAAATATTGAAAAATCTGTCAGAAAAATCAGCAAACACAAGATAAATTATGCATCTTCTTAGGGGGAGTAAACCTAAATATTTTTTGTGCTTCATTTTGAATTTCTTGTGTTATGTCGTTAGGAACAAATGTGCATTGATAAATTTATGTGATTGTCTCATCAGGATCAAACTATTACAGCACATCTCATATTCTTTTGAATATATTTTCTTGAGATGTTCCAAATATCATGAGGCTTGCTTGTTACTACACTACTTATTAGATACAAGGGGAGTAATGAGAACTACCTCGAAAACATTCAAGCTGCCCTCCATAAAAATATATTTGCAAAAAAAATCTCAAAGAGAAATATTCTGATTTGATAGCTGAAATTTCAAGCTTGATCAGTAGCCTTCTGATTTTTATGGTGACTTGTATCTTGGATTTAGGCTACAAAGTTCTAATATGATAAGAGTGCTTGGAAAAATGTACATAATTAGTGGAGAAAATAGGTGGATGACACTGGATTTGAGAAGGATAAAAAGCAAAAAATGCCATGGCCATTTAGTGTAACTCTCTTGCCCCATTTTGACATTCTTCGAGGTCCTAGACCAGGGCTGGCTGCATGACAAAACCCTCAGGGATCCCTCTCCCCTTTCCTTTGAATGAGTGAAGCATTTCTTCATCACATTGTGAGTAGTCGAGAGAGGAATGTGCAGAGCAAGTCTGATGTTAGCATGGAAGAAGAGGCACATTCATTTGTAGGTGATTAGAGCCTAGGGTTGGTGACGTAGACCCTAAGGTGAGTGTTCAATCTTCATGCAGTATAACCTCCTCTTGATTCCAGCATTAGGTAGGCATAGAAATTAGAATATAGCGTAGATTTCAGTTCTAATTAGTTCATATAACTAATCAGTGCACTTTTCTCTAATTTTCTACTCCTAGCTCTCGAGATTTCTCTAGATCTAGAAAGTCTTCTCTAGATTCATCACCATAGATCAATTTGTGATCCTCTGTGAAGGCCCAATCCTAGAGGTTACGACCTTAACTTTCCACATTTACTCAAAAGCAATTATAAGTTAGGTTTATAAATGTTTTGATTAATACCTACTTAAGGCCACGTCACCTTAGGTTTAGGATTTATCATAGTTCCGTCAAGGAAGGTATCTAGTGACTTTTTTCCTAATAGGCTAAATGGACCCAAACAAAGATATTTTACAAATGAACCCAAGTTGATGCTATTTTTGCATTATTTTAAGTATCGAAAGTTTCATTTGGTGGGGGTAAAGAAGCTCATATTATACTCTGATGTTTGAAGCTCCCAAAAAAAATTAGCAGACATTATAAGTTGAGCCATTGGTATGTCAAGTGGATACGTTTTTCTACGTTTAGAATTCATCAAAAAGATTGACTTTTGAACAAGATGGAATAAGATGACGGATACAAGTTATATGTTGGTTTAGGGTTAAGGAGGGTGGAAGAAGAACCAAGAGAGGGTTAATTGACCATTTTTGTTTCAGCTCCTAGAGTTGGATATTTGTTTATAACTTCTAAGAAAAACTTGAGTTTTGAAAAAAAGTAGCAAAGCATTAAGGATATGAGTTGTATGTCTTTTTTAATAAGGCTGAAAGAGGATTCAAGAGGGACAGTTAAGTGTTTTTTTATTTTCACTCTTTCACTCTTTCACTCTTGCAATTACTTTTAAAATGCATAAATTTTTTTACATTCTGAACAAATAGCAAAATATTTATGACATGAGTTGTGTTGGCTTTATGGTGGCAAGAGGAACTAAGAGCAGAGATGAATTAGTCTTTTTCATTTCAGCTCTTAGACATTTAGATTTATGACTCATGGAACTTGGATTTATAATGGTTCAGGCTATCTGACCTACGTAACTCTTTAAGGACCTCATCCCTAGGTTTTAATAGCTCAATGTTGTATACTGTAGACTACATTTCATTGCTCAAGTCCACCCCCAGTGTTTATTAGAAACACGTCTAGATTGAAGGGGCTAGGGGGGCAACTCAATGAGCACCAACCTAATCTCAAGTTGAATCATAAAAATTTGTTGGTACACAAAACTAAGAGTTCACATGATTTTAAATGCAAGTGTATTTTCATTGGAAGCTCAAGCTTAAGTTTTCGTTATACAAACTGCATAATAAATGTGGGAAGGGTTAAGTGCCCTTAAGTAGTTGCTCTGCTTCACTAAACAAAAAATATGGTATGATTGATACAAGTACTGTTTCATTCTAACTGCTTAATACAAGTACTTTCGAATTAGATTCTCAATCGTAACACAAAAAAATGGTAAGACTGTCCCATACTGCGGTCTACGGATGGCTGTGCCGCTCTTAGTTATCATTTAGCCCACTTTGGTCTTCGGTTGTGTTGATCTTCTTAGTTTACATTTCTCGATGGCCGTAGTGTTAGTCTGACAAGCAACAGAAAAATAGATGGAAAATTTAGAAAATGTTGTTTTGCAATTGTAATCGTCGCCCTTTATGATATGTTAACAGAGACACTAAAGAGGCTTCTGTGTCTGGGGCACAATGGTTGACGAGAACTATAAACAGCCCTGTATGCTAAGGATTGCTGGTTGGAGAGCCGCCACTAGTTCTTTCCTCTGCCGTTTTCACGCTACGCATGATTGATCAAGTGGACATCATGCAAACTCCGCTTCGGACAACGACAGCGGTCCTCGATGACTTTGTCGAATTAAATGCGCGTGAGGAAGAAAGCGGTTGTAACGTCGTGGTTGTTTTTATCGCTTTTCTGGACCAATGACAAAGCCTGACCAGTCGTTTAATATATGCAACATAAATTTAAGAACGGCCTCCAGAATCCCTAAGCGCGTGCTGGAAAGTCAACGGAACTCAAGATAAGGTGGTGTTTTGAAACGACACTCTCTGCAGAGAAGAAGACGCTCCCAAGCGGGAAGGCTACATTATTTGTACGGTTGACGTCGATCGACGTTAATATGCGGAGTATGACAAGATCTTCATTGCAAGGGATACCGTAGGTAACCGGTACAGAATCTTCCGTACACATGGAAATTTGAGCAAAGAGTTTGGAACCAAATTTTACTTTGGGAATTTCGTACGGAAAATGCTATAGAAGAAATTGGGTAAATTACTAGAACTTGCCGACATCGCAAGGATGATCAACGATATCTTTGATCGTAGCTCGTCGAGCTGCGGCCATTGAATGTAATCCACTTACATAGCATTGTTCCTCTTGGCTGGTCAACAGATATCACAGCTGGAACCAGTAGTCACGTCCCTGTATCTCTATTAATGTGAAAGCCATTTTCCACTTACCCAGATTGAAGGCGTCAGTCTCCTTACGGCCACGTACCTTCAAGCGAGGAATATTCCGGTCCGGCAATGTCGGTTCAGAGTGAAATCTCCGTCTTCAATGCGAACTACATCGCTAAGGTTAGAGCGGCAGTCTTCATGGATCCTAAACTTCTCTCTCTGCTCTATAAATACGCGCCATATCGATTGTCCAAATACAAAAGCAGAAGTCTGTTACTCCATCGCCGTGCGTTCACGCATACATTTCCTCTCATGGCTTTCAAAATTAGTGCCATCACCGCTGTGCTCCTGCTGAACCTTCTCTTCGGGACCTCGGTTTCTGCGCAGCTGGGAAGACCTTGGTGGTTTCCTCGCCGTCCTCCCCCACCTCGGCCCCCTCCGTCCCCACCACCTCCCTCTCCGTCACCACCGCCTCCCTCTCCGTCGCCACCACCTCCTTCTCCGTCGCCACCACCTCCCTCTCCGTCCCCACCACCCCCACCAAGGTCCTGCCCCATTTTCGCCTTCAGATTAGGCGTGTGTGCTCCCGTCGTCAACCGTCTCAGGCTCGGGCTTCAAGCCTCTCGGTTTCCGTGCTGCACTGTGATCAACAGTCTCTCCGATCAGCAGTCAACCGCATGCTTATGCCTTGCTGCTAGACTGAGGTTCCTCGGGCTTAGAGTCAGCGTTCCCGGAGACGTTGCCCGACTTCTCACCTTCTGCGGCAGGCCCGTGCCTTCGGGCTTGACGTGCAGTTAGTTCTTCTCGGACAGAACCTGTGTGTCTACGTACCTGTTCTCCTCGGACACGGTCCTTGCGCTTTTCTGTCCTTCTTTGATCCTCAGTGAACTGTGCATGATGTAATGCTGCTACTCGACTCATCTTTGTGACAATACGTAGTAGTATCGTTTCACCGTTTCCGAAATAAAATGTTCTGCACGTGGTCTTTGTACTTGCCTTGAATGAGGGATGCCATTTTTTGATGCGGACATGCGTAAGGAGTAGTACAAAACAAAAAATTCGGACGGTAGAGAAACGGCGAGCTGCTTACTTTATCTGGCAGGCGAAAGCGTGCGACCCTCCGCTCGCGAGTGATGGGATAGGTTGGCTACTATGGTGGCGCATGAATTTCCGCTTCTTTCGCAATGACTCGTGTTCTGCTGTTGCTCGCCCACTCGAGTTGTGTGTCGAAACCTGGTGCAAAATCTTCCTCTGTCGTCGTTCAGATGCCCGGCTCTGCTTAGAATAAATGAGAGAGAGACCTCTATACAGTGTTTTCCCTTAGTATTTGGGGAACTTGATGATCAGCCAAGTTTATATCGTTTCGGTGGGGCTATTATCGTCAACACCCGGGCCGCAGTACCCCAAAGATGCTGCCTGCGTCCACAGCGCTAACCGTGAGGAATGCCGACACGCGTTAGGTACCCCGGGCCAAATTGGGCGACTTAGGCTGAACCAGAGGAGCATTCGCCGCGTCCTGTGCATTGGTTCTATCGACCTCAACCTATCGTAGGTTCATTCTTGGACCATCCGAACTTGAGAACTTCCAGCACTCGCCAGCTGCTAGGAACAGTACGTAAGATCGGAAACAGTAAAGGAAGCAGCCATGGGAAGACTACGGCTTGTCGAGACCGTCGCGTGGGTTTCGAGTTGAGGGCCCAGTGAGAGAAAGGGAGCACGCACGTTGGTACGCGGCGAGAAGTGCTGATTTCTTAACCCAGCCCGATGAAGCGTGTGCATTGCAGTAACTGTCGTGCCAAATAGTGTTTGATCAAGTTTACCGACGAAGCGTCGCGCCGTCTCCTTTACCGATAAACTTTTCCTGAAAATGACTACATCCGTTTCTTTGGTGTTGACAGAGCGGACCATAGCCGAATAGAGGAGTGCCTTGGAGAGAGGAGAGGACGCTGATTGTGGATGACTGAACAACAAATTCAAGGACAATGAGCACAGATTGGATCAAGAGATTTTAAAGTAAAATATTTCATGCAATAACGTCGATGGATTTCGACGGAGTAACTAAGTAAAACCTAAACGAAGATATTCCCATCCAATTCAACGTTTGTGTAGTCGCATTCCGAACTCGTATACACATTTCTCTCATCACTACCAACAGGTGGGAGGAACAAACAACAGGGAGAGAGGAGGGGACGCTGATCTGTGTATGATTGATGAAAACATTCAATGACAATAAGCAACGTTGAGCACAGACAGGATGATGATATTTTAAAGTAAAATAATGCATCAAATAATGTCGACGGATTTCAACGGACTAACTAATTAAAATTTAAAGAAAGATAATCCCATTCCAAGTCAACGTTTGTGTAGTCGCATTCCGAACTCGTATACACATTAGGTGGATCGGCCATAAATGTGAAGTGGTTGGAGAAGTCATGGGAATTAAAACGCGGAGTTTCTAAATACATGGCTAGTGGTTTGAAGCATGCCCAGGCAAAAGTCCACCCCAAAGCTGCGCTAGCTGAAAGGGACATGGGCATAGTCAATATAGTCGATTTCGTTTTCTTCTATCCGGCTGTATTTGACTCTAGAACCTTAAGGTAAGTCTTAATTTGTCGTATGCTTTTGGCCTCTGGGAATTGGATTCTTAGGAAAGCCATTGGTTCAATACACATCAGATCGAACTATCTGTTATTTTTAAGGACCAGTCTTCGAATACTGGAATTAGATACATAGTTAGCTGTAGATACATAGTCTTGGAATACGTGTTATTTGTCTTTACTACCCTATAAACTAGTTTGGTTACAGTTAAACGCTTATACTTTTCTCCTGGACCTCTATATCCCGAAAAAATATTCATTGGTTCCTACTTACTTCTTGGACTCCTAAAAGACAACCCCGTGAACAAGATGACCTTTAGACCTCCTTATTCATGGCATTTTACTGCTTCATTTTCTTTATTAAATGAGATATTATTAAGAGAGTCATGTCTCACATTAATAACAGAAAGGAAAAAAGCATCACAACGCTCCCAGGTTTCTCATCTTTTGTATCTCAAAAGAAGGTGGCCTTCCTCCCCCCAGGTACTATTTATGACTTATCGGAAGAGCCCCATTAGGAAGGGCCTACGTTTCTTATTTGAGCTCGTTAATCATTGTGATTCCCCCGTCTCCTCGCACCATTCCTTGTGTTCCCTTCGGAACAGAGGTAATGAAGAGGTTGGAGAAAGATTTAGCTGTTCAACAAAGGCATTATCAGCGCATAATTGTTACTTCCATGAAATAAATGCAAACGAAACTCTTTAATCTCGGACATTTTGAAACTATTGATCAATCTAAACACACCAAGCCGCCTTGTGCCTCTGTCTTGCTGCAGAGTCAAATCTTCTTGCGCTCAACATCACCCACCCGATGGACGTTAGTATCATGCTGAACATATTTTCTAGCTCACCAGACTAGCGGAAGGTCACTGTTGATCAGATTCAACTGTTTCCTGCTATTTCTGTCCATATCAGTGTTACACCCTGCACGAACTTCCGCTAGTGTGGCCCGTTAGTAGGTACCTGTTCATCTTCAATCAATGTTGTGTCCTTGAGCTTTTTTTTTACAAAATGAAAAATGTTTGTACGCTTGAAAGCTACTACCACTGAACATATCGTGTCTGCCAGAGGTTATTTCATGAGCGCCAAGCATATCGTTTTATTTATCACAGGCGTTAACTCAGCTGAGAACGTTGCTTCAGTCTACAGCCTCACCCAATCTGCGCATAAGCGTGACTATAAATGTCTATGTGAGGGTTCTGCTTTCTCACGGCCTAATCAATGCGTAATAGGCGTTCTAGAAAGACCCACAGCATTTGTGTCTCATCTTCCATTCACCTGACTTTAGTAGCCGACAACAAAGCTGACGACAGCTTCCTTGTGAAGAAAAATCTTGGTAACTTTCTCGCATGCACAGAACTGTGGGAAGATTGACGTGGCCACACCCCACCGGTAGCAACAGTAGAGAAACCTTGTCCTCCGTTTGGTGTTATTCAGGGGCATTGGAGATTTTATTTGCGGACCTTCGTTGTCGAATTTTGTTCCTAGGTTGCACAAGCCCTAGACGTAGCCACTCAGCATGGTTATTAGCATGTGACTACCACCCTGTTGAGGAGTCGATATTTTAGATTTATACATCTATACTGCACCTTTACGACCAATGATTATTGAGAGCGCGTGAGACGGATTGAGCATCGACATCGGATTATTGAGACGGAGCGCAGAAGATGGGCGAATCTGGCATGATCCAAAGGTATGACAGGATCCACTTGGGCAGACGCAATGTTAGTCAGGCCCAACAGTTTCATTCAATCGTGGAATCGAGAGAAGGTTTCTGGTCAGGACTACGATGAGATGGACCTGTGTGTTGAACCCAACGACAGCTCGTCAGATATTTAATGCCAACACTATCTCGCAAGCAGCCGACAGCGAGTGTGTCTTAACACCAAGCATTTCCTCTCAACACTATCTCATAACGTCTCCACTTACCGACAAGCAGTTCCTCTCGATGAACTACATCCATTTCTGCCCTTTTTTGCCAAAAGAATTTGAGCTAAAAAGGGGAGTGTTGGAGCAGTGCCGGTCACTCATCTCTCCCCAGAGATAAGAGGAGGAACCACCAAGAGAAAAATATAGGAAAGACTGGCAGCCATTTGAACCGAAAGAAGCAACAGCAGGAACCAGACGACGACGTAGTTCGCCCGGGAGTCGTCGTTCCTACCGTTGGAAGGGTTTCGTACATGCAACGTAGTTAGAGATCACGGACACCTAAAACCTTACAAAGCGCCAGTCAACAGAGAGTTAATCTATTCTCTCAATGCTGTTAGCCCATTTGATTTTCATCATCTCTGTCAAGATTGCTTGTCCGAAGTCCGCGTCTGTGCAGTCGCATTCGCAATTTCTCAGAACTCAAGAGCTTTATCACCCATCAGCTGTAATGTTAGGTTCAGTCAAGGGAGTTAATGTGCCGATTTCTTAAGGACGACGTTCAGCAGTACGAAGCAAGCCGAGCTAAATGTCTACCCCAAGGTTGCACTAGCTGCAAGGGAAGGAATGCAACCCATCATTCATAGAACGCCTTCTTCTGTGCTTTATAGGAGCCAAGACCCCACAAGATATAAGCTTGGTGCTTTCGTATGTTAAAAAAGTGACTAAAGGTAAGTAGAATCTTGCAGTGTCCTCAATGCACTTTAAAAGAAAGAAAGTATTGAAGAAGAGGCAAAAGACATCAAACCCAGAATGACGGTTGATGGAGAAGCACTTCAGCTTGACATTGTATGTCTGCAGAGAGAAAGAGTCGGCAAAAGGAAAGAAGAAAATAAGAAAATAAGAAATGTACATAAGAAAAAAGAAAACAGAGAGAAAATAAGCAGAACAAAATAAGAAGATGCTGTGATGATAGTCAGTAGCTGCTGCTAGCATGAGAAGGGTGGCAAAGACCGATGGAGATCATGACCGCTTGCTGGTCATGCTCAAGGTATCACTTAAGACACTGGCCATTAACCTTGAAGGCTCTCCCCATCTTAGGATCTACTATTAAAACAACTCCACAATTAGAGATCTGCACAATAGTGTATGGTTTATTCCAACAAGATTTGAGTTTACCAGAAAATAATTTTAACCACGAATAATATAACTAAACCTTTTGATTTTCAAAGAATAATTAATGACTTAAGTTCTTGTCATGAAAAGCCTTGAGTTCGGCTTTATAGATGAGAGAATTTTCATAAGCTTCAGTGTAACTTTTGAAGTTCTTGTATTTCAAGAAGATGTTATTTCTCTATATAGTCTAAAGATAAATTAAGTTGCTTAATAGCCCAATAAGTATGGTGCTCAAGTTCAACCACTAAGTAGCAAGTTTTACCATATATTTGACGATAAGGAGACATGCCAATGATGTTCTTATAAGTTGTTCTATAGGCCCACAAGGCATTTGGTAATTTTAATGTTTAATTTTTACCATAAGGTCGGACAATCTTTTTCAAAATCTTTTTAATCTCCTTATTGTTCAATTCTACTCAGCCATTAACTTGGGGATGATAGGGTGATAATTATAAATTAGTAGTTGCATCTATGTATTAATATCTTATATATAGATACTAATTAATAGGTAGATAATACAATTATACATGTGTAACCAATTTATTATGAAATTCATAATATTTTATCATTTAAGTCCTAATATATATTATTTTATTTATATTATGAGACTAACCCCACTTGAGTTTTCTAAAATCAAGTGGTGACTCTCTCATATTTTCTTGATAATTATTTTGACTGTAAAGACTTAGGTGAGCTATTATTATGAGTTGGAAGTAATGGAAGAAGCCTAAGTCTTTAACTTAAGAAAAAGTCAAAATCTTATAGAAAGGGCCGGCCTAATATGTTTATGGGCCCAAAAGAGGGCGTTACCTTGGCCTAGTTTATTTAGACTTAAAAGGGTTATTAAGAGATAAGATTTGGGCCATCTATCTTAAGACACCTTAAGATGATATTAGAGTGCCGCTCTTATGGAAGAATTTGGGTCGTCTACCAAAAGAGTCAGTTATTAATCATAATCGTCTATTAGAGGGGCCTAATTCTATAGAGGTTTAAGGTATCTCACCTCTCCTCTTGTATGATGTTTTTTGACTCTCTTTCTAGCAGTAGCTAGTTGAAGGAAAAAGGAAAGAAATCAAGGCTTGGTCAACAACATTCTTGTGCTCAAGATCGTCGTGGAGAAGAAACTATCTAGAACGTATTAAGATTGTGATGGATCAAGCACCACTTGACTTAGGACTGGTGCATATTGAGGTCTGTGTAAGATCTAGATATAGCAGTCCTTGTAATCTTTTATATAGATAAATTAACTCTTAGTTCGAACTAACTTTACCATTTATTCTATCTTTTTATTGCATTAGATCCATTCTCTCCTCTTTACCACACTTTTTATTTTTTTTGTCTTTACCCTTGTTAGATTAATTATGTCCTTTACAATCTCAAGTATATATATAAGAAATAAAATAAGTAAAATTCTTACTCTTATTACTCACACTCTTTGAGGATTGATACTTACTTATCTTAAATAAAGAGTGAGGTTTTATAAATATTATTTGCATGAACTTGGTTGCAACACGAAGACATATTTAACTTCTAAATTGAGTTTATAAAGATGCTCTGAATATATTTGTCAATGAACATTATTATTAATGATCATAGTGATCTCTACTATCATAATGTCTTACATTGAATAACTTTATTTGTTGTGTCAAAGTCATTTTGATCGTTGAGTGTGATGCACAGAACTAAACAACATATGTATCTCTTTTGTGTTCATGGCTATTTTCTCAATCTTCAAATAGCACAAAGTTTTTTAAACTACTTGAAACCATCTTCGTAATTGCACATCAAGCTATGATAAAATGAAATAAAAAGTTAGAGTCGGCAGGTGATACTTTTGTAGAGACTTAAATTCATCAGTGGACATGGGACTAAGTGAAGATAAAGATCAATTACTTAGCTTGGAAATCTGGCTTGCAAGAAATACTAGATCTTTCAATTTTTGTTTTACAAAAATTGCAAGGATAATGATACGAGTTCCCTGGCTTCCAAGAACTTTTGATGGGGTAAATTTTCTTCCTATTCAGCATAGCAACATTCCCACTAGTTTTCATGATCTCCTATGTATAGAAGTGCCTAATTTGATATCATACCCTTTTGAACATTTCATGTTGAATCTTGTATCTGATACAAATCTCTTTGAATTCCCAGATTTGTTTGGTGTTGTTCTCATTTCCAACTCAAAAATAATTAGGTATGAATTGTAGGGCTTTCTTTTCCCATACAAACTAGGTTAACCACAGAATGACCATGTGAAACTCAAAAGTTAGCTTTGGTGATCATGTAATATGAAAGTATGTTGGTGAATCAAGCATAAATTTATAGTTAATAGATGAGGCCTTATTTCGGAATTGAGTTTACTTTCAAAGTGACCAAAAAAAATTAAACTTAATGCTGATTTTTTAATATGAAATGTGAATAATTTTCAAAGATGGTCTTAGATGGTGAGAACAATAATCAATCTGGTGTAACGTTCACTGATCTGTTAGATGCATTTTTCATTGGTGTCTTAACAAAGAATCCAAAGCTTTTTTTTTTACAGCTTTATACATTCAACACATGGGCACAAGAAATCTTTGTGAGAACTCTATTTGTAATCGTGGATCTATTTCACTCTTGGCATGATGCCTATTTCCACCAACATTTAAATTATCAAAGTGGAAACTCTAAAGCCACTCATTCAAAAAGATACATGATAATCATGGTCCTTATTAATAAATATAAAATGAAATCTATCATTACAATGATAAGCTATCTAGGTTCATTGAAAATTAGCGTTGAATTGAAAGCCCAAGGCAATTTTAATACTGTGAAAATAATTTGGACCAAATCTTAATCATTCTTTCCTCAAGATCAATACTTGGAGATGTCAAAGCTTGTGCCCCAAAGTGGCTGATCTTTATTTTCCATGGGATCTGATCAAGGATATGGGAAATACCCTACTATTTCATATAAGTCTACATGTACTGTGTTGGGACTCCAGACAATAGTAGCTAACACTCTTTCTTAACTCAAAATGTAGAACTTGAAAGTCTCATTTGTCTGAAGCAAGCCATTCATAATAACACAAATTTTCTAAATGATAATTCAAGGTAAGTTCATTATATTTTATAGTATTTGTCGCCCTGAATTTTCTATTGCGTTTACTTAAATCATAGTTAAGTAAGATACAAATTAAAAATCGAATCTTTTCATGGTAATTGGATTTCAAAAAACGTTACTATGTGCAGTCATCCTGTGAAGAGAATGATGCAACAGCTAAAGTGTCCAACTGTGCACATGGTTCATCACAATTATCTGTCTAGACTGGCGATCGACCTTTTCTTGGGGTAATCCGAGTTACTTATTAATCAAGAATGGTATTTCTCCCCACTATCATTTGACCTATGCCAGGGTCCCATCTGCAGTTGCCTTATTTAAGTTTTTAATAGGACGGATCACACTTTTACCACTAAACTATACCCGCTCCAGTTGTATTATTGTATATTAATTAGTCATTTGTCGACTAAAGCATTGATATATAATCAAGGTAGTATCATAATGATCTAAATTTGAACCTGGATAAGGGTGTCTGATGACATTATTGTCCAACTGTTTATAACCCATTGTAGAAAAATATCTTAAAGCCTACACTCAATTTAGCTTAGGGCAAACAAAACAAAATGAAATGCATCAAAATAGTGGGCATCTAAGAGTTTTTTCAATTTATTTCCATAGACTTCATTATCATACTATAATAGATTGGGGGTATGATTGAATATTTATTACTATTGATTGTTTTTCGAAGAAGGTGATGTGCATACCAATGAAAATATTTTTTTTTTACAAGAGAGATAATACGTAGCTGATCAAGCGTAGTTATCTGTGCCCTACTGAATTATAAGATAGAGAGAATACGCAGCTGATATGTATTCTTATAATGTACATAATTAGCTGATCAAGTGTAGCTATCTGCGCCCTACTGAATTATAAGATAGAAGATAATATGTAAATATTCCTACCAAATAAGGAGAAAACATCTTCGTTATTGGGGACCATGAAGTCAATAGTAAAAATTGATTACGCCAACAAAGTCTTGTGGAGTCAACTTAGTTCGAATTGTATTGACCTCTCAATTAATGCTGCATTACAAATATGAGATTGGAGTTGAATCTAGTTAATTGTCGAGGTAGTTTCACGCACCGTTTATTGGTACAGTGTTTGGAACTCAGAGAAAAAACATGTGCTAGTAATCAGTACCCTACCAGTTGTCTCGGCTTAACGTACACGGAAAGCAGAAGCAGCAGCCCCTGATTAATTATTCGTCTAGGCAGACTTTAAATACTGGGACCCGCTTTTGCTGAAAATTGGTGCACTGGAGTAGATCCTAAGCATCAAGGGATGACTAAATGCATTAAATATGCCGTGTCATTCACGACTCTACGAAGGGTGGCTTTAATGACTGAGTGGACTAATCATGGCTGACAGCAACAGATGAATATGAGAGCTAAAATCCCGCACCGCCACGGCAGATCAGGCAATTATCTTGGTGGTCATATTTGGACCTATAATTCTCATTAGCAGAACAGAAACCAAGTTATTATGTGGCAAAGATATACAAATAAAGGGGTCATAAAGGTCTTGAAAGCAGCGGAGCCGTGTTTTGACAGGTGGCCATCTCAAATCTTCAAAATCTGCATCAATATCCCATGCAAAATGAGGTATGCTATAACGATTATGAGATAACAAGCTAGAGAATCGGGAGACTCGAATTTGTATTTCTGATGTAAATGGAATAAGTACTTGATCCCTCTGGGTATATTATAATTTGAGTTATTTTGATGGACTTCAATAAACTACTTGAATTTAAGCGCTTTAAGGGCAGAACCAGGCACTAAATTCATCGAACGTCAACACATTAAAATGAGGAAAACTAATAATCATAATACTTGCCAGTGGAACTCAATATAATTTAACTGCTTATTGGCATTCATGACCCAAGATAGTCAAGGAGAATATGATGATTACACTTGCACCACGTACAGCCGTTTGAAGCTCGCCCAAAGAAACCTTTTCTGAGGATTGCAATATCCCCAGAGATTTGTTTGCGGCCACCACAGGTAAACAGTTTCACACTTATATAATACAGCAGACTTGATTTTCCGCCATCTGTGCGAAGAGACACATGAGTTATTTCTTACTATTTTTTGGCAGTAGGCAACGTCTACATGGTCATGGATTTCAAAAGTCCTTCAGCCACAGCAGTTCCCCTGGTGCTCAGCCTGCTGTCAATTGCGTTTGTTTCAGCCCAAGAGATCAACAGCAGTTCTCCAATACCAGCGCTAACTGATAGTCCTCCAGGATCGTCCTCCTCTCCGCCGCCTCCACCACCTCCTGTCCCAGTTCTGTCCTGCCTTGGTGATGCTATACGGTTGAGCATCTGCGCTCCAGCTCTCACTTTGCTGAGAAATATTGGAAGGCCTCCAATCTTACCTTGCTGCATCCTTATCGAGAAACTCTCCAATCAAGAGGCCTATGTATGCCTCTGCTTCGCTGCCAACTCCAGGTTCCTCGGCCTAAGACTCAGTGTTCCAGACGATGTTGTCGTCCTGCTTGACTTCTGCGGTAGGCCGGTGCCTTCCAACTTACGGTGTGCTTGATTATGTGTAGAATGAGCTATATCTCCTTTGAGGAGGATACATATTTAGTTATTTCTATATCTGCAAAGAAAAGTATTTGTTGTATTGACAATTCAATTTCTGTGTTAATCTGAGTGTATGTGGACTGCCGTTTGCGTTTTTCGGTTTTTCCACTTACCAGTCATTAGTTCGTGGTAGGAAGGTAAGGGATTCAACAGGGATTCAACAAATCCGTTTCCGAATCATAACAAAGGCGTCGTCTTAAATTAAGCCTGTTGTGACTGTGTCACAGTGCGTCAGTTATATGTTAAATTGGTCTTCTTGACAAAACCTCCCCCCCTGTTGTTGAACAGCAGTTCACCTTCACTAGACACCGTATCCCTACCCCCATCTTATCCATTCCTGCTCCTCCATCCCAACCACTGCCATCTGCTGGAATACCTGTCTACCCAGCTCTGACGTTGAGCGTCTACACTGCTTGTATGACCTATGCCAAGAACTAAGGCCTCCACGCCTATTCATGCTCCTACAAAAGGGATGTCAGACCCTTTTTCTCTGTTTCTGTAAATCTGATTGGAACCGAGATAGCCTTTGAGTATCGGTAACTTCATCGTATTTTGAGTGAAACACAGTTTACTTGCCGTTTTCGTAAACGGTTCTTGTCATTTAATGCGCATCACGAAATTGCTCAGAGCTAGAGCGTTGGGGAGTCCTGAGAACTGGTTATGAATTGAAGTCCTGATTTCTTTTATATAAGGTACAGAAATCTTAGAGACATTTGTTATTGCAATGTTTTTGGTTATCATTCGGTGAGAGTAAAGCTAGTATTATTTGTCCAAAGTGGCTTGGAATCCGAAACTGAATACATATAGGAAATCTTACATGACATAAAATCAGAGCACCACGCATCTGTGTTGAACCTTATAATTCAACCAGCATTTGTCTTTACGTTATCATCTTGGGATTCACTACCATACTGTTGGCAATCTAAGCCACGAACTACTGGATTCAATGGATCAAGATGGCGTCAGGAGAGAGATTTTTGAGAGAACTTCCCAAGAAAATATGGTATCTTTTGCCGTCTGGAGATTCTCATCATATTTCTTGAAGCTCATTTATGTCTCAAATCATGGTGATGACTTACAGCGTTACCAGCTTCGCTGGTAATCCTCAAGTCTATTATCTACTAAAGACTCTATCACACAAATTGAAAGAATGTGATACTGAGGGTGAGGAATCGAATGCCAGTAATCATCATTGTAAACTTTCGAATGTCAAGTCCACGTATCACCTAACTATGCATTTGGTTTAGTTTATAATTGTTAATGTCAAATATATTCTGGCAATTGTTTCCACTACACGCCGCCGGAAATTCTTTGGCTGAATACATTTTTTTTCATCTCACAATAATGATAACATTCTCCACGCTACCTACCAGAGAAAAATCGTCTTTTACCATAATTCGAATAATCGATACTAATTCATTTTTGAAATTAAAAATGGAAAAAGTAAAAGGTTACCAAGGGCTTAATTGACGTCACGAGTTAACCAATCTAGCTCAATCCTTGGATTAATTGATCATCTCTTCGCAACTCCGGCAAACAAATTACTATTGATGTTCACTCTGGACAAATCTTGCCCGTATGGTAAAATTAGTTCGAACTAAGAGTTAATTTATCTAGATATGCAGTTGATCTTTTCACCGTATGTCATACGAAGAAAGAAAAAACGTCAGTTAACACTGCTGTAGCAAGCGAACTCTGTACGACCTGGCCTTCCCCCATTTTCGACGACACAGGGTTCTCCACGCGAATTTGTAATACATTTTCCATTGGGCATTAATGGATGACATTTTTATGGATCTTTATTAATTGATGTAGAACTTTATGTAAATGTCGCGGCACATAACATGAGGAAAGGACCTCATATAGTTGACGAAGATGACTTGTCATGTAGGTTTACAGAAGTGATCTCACTTCCGATATAACGTAATAGCAACGAGAGGAATGCGAGAGTCGAATTGTGAGATGTGGAAAAACGGGAAATCGACCCTGTCTTCTTCATAAGTGAAAAAATTGTTTTGTAACTCCCTTGTATGCCTAGACCACTTCTTCCTTTCATAGTCTCCCTAGTTCTTCTTCATGGACTATATTGGATAATGGAAAGAGTTCCATGCGAAAGGTAGGCGGTATCAACGGTTCTATTTGCTGAAAAGGTATTAAAGTCAGCCACCTAGTGTAGGTGGCTGCAGTCGTCGTTGGCTGACCTTTTTCAAAATCATTTTATCATGCACGCCAATAATTACCTCAGCTCTGTACATGATCAGCCCAAATGTAATTTTCGTTCACTGCGCTATGCCCGAATTTTCTATTGACACAGTGTTGACATCGAAGGAATACTAAGGCTACATCACCAACCTCCTTGACAAAAACACTAGAACATGAGTGCCCATGGCAACAAGCAGTGATGCTTAGCATTTGTTATGTTTGAGGTCTTCAAGTAACCTGCGAACACCAGTTTGTAAGCATTATCCCTAAATTTCACAAAAATCACGCATTGCCAAATCATATGATCACATTAGATATTTCAGCCCCATGGGTGAACAAAACGATGACATTGGCTTCATGTAACCATTGCGCCTCAAATTTTCACACTACTTGAACTCTACGGGTAGCTCGTGTAGGGTCCAAGGGGACACTTGATTGTTAAGGGCATTCTTATCAAACAATGGGATTTTGACGCACAATTTGTGGTCAAATTCTTCACTGTGATGTGTAGTCAACATGGGTGTATCACGGAGAGATATCTATGGATCATGATTTCTGTATTTCAAACTAGAGGTATATGTGACAATGTCCAGAAGATCATAACTATGACCAAATGTCCAGCAAAGCAACCTACAATACTCAATCAAACAGCTCCAGTGGACGCTGTATGTAGTCACCAAATGGGTCAGCTCGGGGGAAGAGACTAGCAAATACAAAGCAGAAATAACCCACCTACTGGTCCAGCGATTTCTGAAAATGAAGGGTACAAGTCTAGGTCATGACACTGGAAAAGGCTCAATATTCGGAGTCACAGATGATGTATTTTTTTTCCGTGGTCCAGACCACAAATAGATTGGTTATTCCGCACTTCATTAGCATGATATTGGGACCTATCTAGAAATTCTTCATAAATCTGGGAATCTCATTGATGTCTTAACCACGAACCCCCATTTTTCACGAGCAAACTAATTTTACACTACCTCAGTTCTCAAGACTTGGCAATGCCGGCTGAAGGTGGGCCTAGAGAAATTTATTATGGAAGGTCCAAACCCATTGCTACTGCAACCTGGAGATCAGAACTGCTACAGTCATGATCCAAACACAGGCATGATTTGAGATGTTATGTGAATGATGATCTTTTGGTCAACAATTGGAGCAACATCAAGAAACGAGATGGTGATCAATTATTGTATAACAACTTGACTAGTGAAGACAATATAATGACAACTAGACTTTGATGAATTGAATAGTCCTCACTCTCGTTCACCTAATTTTTTGGTCGTAGATGGAACGAGGATTAAAGTGAACAATAGTGGTTGCCTAGTCAATTATCCTATAACATCATCAATAGTCAGAATAAGAGACTCAATATAAATATATGATCTCAAACTTAAATATTAAGATATTGATAATTCTTCATTATCATGAGTTAATAATTAATTATTAATATATTTTAAGTCTTAACTCATGATAAATAGACTTATATTTATTTTAAATTAAGAAAAATAGTTTTTAATTAATTAATATAATTTTTTTCTAATGATATTACTTTATGTGAATTTATATAATTTTATAATCATATATTTGAGAAAAAATAAAGAGAAATAAAAGAAAATAAATATATGTATAAGAAAGAAATACCTATTGATCTCACAAGTGAGTTAGAAGCACAATCAAGTAGAGCCACAAGTGGAGGGCTTGAGTGGCTAAGGACCGGTTGAAGACAAATATCTGTCACTCCCCTTTCATGTCACTAATGACTACCCACATTTGAGGTAAGAAGTGGTTGTACACACGTGAGAAGACTACATTAAAGATAAGAAGAAGTATTATTATATATTTATCTCAAATCTTAAAAAATAGCTAATGTAAGACTAAACCTACATCATCACTTATTTGTAGATTTTTATTATTTTTAATACTTAAAATATCCCTAGTTTATAAGAAGAAAATATCTCCATGATGTCACTAGGTAAGGGTCTATGGGTAATTCATATTCTCTCTCTCATACAATTGAGCCACTAGCAAGAGTACGAATCCCGACAGAACCAAAGTTCATCTTTTTATCTTATTAAAATCATATTTTTTTTAAGAACGTTGGCCAATGATCTAGCTGCTTTCTCGCTTATCATTGACAAATTTTTTGTCAAGACTATTTGTAGATTATCATTAACAATTGACTAAGGATTTTGAATACAAAAGTTATGAATTTTTTAAGAAAAATATCTTATTGTACAGAACTAAGAATGAAACTCCTTTAGAATACTCATTAATTGCCTTAAAATGTACATACTTAAGTAATTAAATATCTTATTTTATTATGGTATCATTTATAAAATAATAAAATAATAATTTTATAATGATTATATGAATTTTTCTGATTTATAATAATTTTACCGGATTTTTATGGCCTCATTTTGGATTTATTTTGATATAACGACATAAAAGTAATTTTAGGAAAGATATATACATTATTTAACACATTCTGGGCCTTTTCCACAATTTTGCCACAATCAACAAGACATTGCCATGTGTAATGCCATTTGTATTTTGATTATTTGATGTGCCATGGCATTTGAACCCACGTCGCTTGATTATTGGCAATACTTTATTCCAGCCATAATTTTTGACATGTGTTGATAGGCTGTCACATTTAATGCAGCGGCCAGAATGTGCGGAATGTGAGAAGACATGCAGAATACAAGACGATCCAGATGGAGTTTTGAGCCCACATTTTATGGGCATGATCCTCAAGACAGGTTGAGTGTCAAGGATTGAGTTGCAGAGAGTGAAGTGTTGGAGATCAATTTATTTGGAGAAACCACCTAGCCTTGGTGACAGATAGAGGTCTAGGTTAAATAATCTTCTTCCCATTGTTTATTTCTCCTTTTCTTCTTTCCTAGGGTGAAACCATTTCTCATCAAAATATTTTTAAAACTACTTTTCTACAACCCCCTAGTTTGCCCTTAACCTAGGGTTTCCTTTATTATATCTATTTCAACCATATTCCTCATCTCCCACTCATCTCTTCTCTCTTTTTCTTTCGTCCATCTTCTAACTTATTTATTCTCATTACTTAGGATTTCTTAGAATCATTAACTTTACTCATTATGGTTCAACCCATATCTTACCCTCTCTACTCAGTAAATTAACTATGATATCACAAACATCGATACTATGCCATCATGAGCATTGTTGCCATCACGATTGCCATTAAGAGTGCCGTTGATGTGAGACCAAAGAGAAATATCAAGTTGAGATTTAAGATTATTATTGACTAAGTTAAGGAAGATTTAAAGTAGGCTATTCCCACTGATTTTACAAGTATTAGGATCATAATTACCTAAGAAGAGTCGGATTTTCAAAGATTCAAATAAAGTTTCAACTAGAGCGTTAGGGTCACCAATAAGAGACACAAAGAGGCTTAGTCTATGATTCACTCAATTTCTATAAGGAGCAAGGATTTAAAATAATGATCACTTCACAAAAGGAGTTGAAATCAAGGTACCTTACCAAAGGAGATTCCAAAGTGATTTTACTTGATTCTAGTGGCTTGAGATCCACAAGCCTTGTTAATAAATTTGTAATGGGAGATGAGTCAAGAAAATGGGAGGTCTCGATTGGGTAGTTGAGGTCCACGAAGTATTTGAATGTTTGAAAATAATAGGGGGAAAAATAAATAAATAAATAAGGGATAGTAAGAATAAGAGATTAATGAGGAGAATAAATAAATGGAGGAGAGAAAGGGGGAGGAATGAGGGACGTCCGGCGGAAGAAAGAGAGAGAAAGGAAACTATGGGGTACGTGGTGATGGCGGGAGAAAGGGAGAGAGAGGATGAGGGGGTTTACGTGGAGATGGCGGGAGAAAGGGAGAGAGAGGATGAGGGGGTTTACGTGGAGATGGCGGATGGCGGGGGAGAAAGAGAGGGAGAGAGAATGTGGGGTACGTGGCGACGGCGGGAGAGGAAGTGGGAGAGAGAAAAGGAGGGATACGTGGCGACGGCAGGAGAGGAAGAGGGAGAGAGAAAAGGAGGGATACGTGGCGACGGCGGGAGAGGAAGAGGGAGAGAGAAAAGGAGGGATACGTGGCGACGGCGGGAGAGGAAGAGGGAGAGAGAAAAGGAGGGATACGTGGCGACGACGGGAGAGAGAAGAAGAGGGTTTCGGCGGGCGAGCGGGAGAGAGAAAAGGACGGAGAAACGAGGCGACGGCAGGAGAGAGCAGGACGAGGGTCACGGCGGGAGAGAGAGATGAAGTGGCGGTGACGGAGTGGGCGGCAAGGAGCCAGAGTGGCGGCGACGGGCGGATGGCGGGGAGGCGAGACGACGGCGACGGAGCAGACGGCGAGGAGGCGGACGACGGCAATGGGGCGGACGGCGAGGAGCCGGGACGAAGGCAATGGGACGGACGGCGAGAAGGCAGGACGACGGCAATGGGCGGACGGCGAGGGGGTGGGTCGACGGTGACAGGGTGGCTGGCGATAACGGGAGTAGCGGCGACAGGGTAGCGAGGACGACGTGAAGAGAAGGAGGTCCCCCTAATCCAAGAGGGCGAGAAGAAGAGGGGAAGCCCCTAATCCAAGAGGCGATGACAGGAGGAGAGGAACCCCCAATCCAAGGGGCGAGATGGTGAAGAAGAAGACCCTCTAATCCAAGAAGGTAAGTAAACCTTGATTAATTCTCTCTAATCACTCCCTTGAACACAAGAGAGTTTGTGCATTTATAGAGGGAAAAAGAAGAGCGGTGGTTTTCAACACAATGGAGAGAGAACAAGAGAGAAGGGGTGATGGAGACACCCTTTGCCTAGAGGTGCCATGTGGCGCCCCTTGGTTGAAAACGACCCTCCCTTTAAGGAGAGGACGGACGTGAGGATGACAATGGCATCCTCTCCTCATTCTTCTTCTTCCTCTTGTTGGGCCATCCTTTGTGGATGGATCCTCTTGCTTGCTGGTAGGGACCCATTGGTCCTGGAACCACTATTCTATGTTGGATCCAATAGAGGAGGAAGGTGCCGGTTGACTTGAAGATGAATTCGTCGAGGTGGAAGAACCCTGATTCTGGCACTTCTTCTTGGAAGGGTTGACCTCAAAGGTTGAACCCCTGATTGACTATCCTCCGCTGACTTGAGTTGACTTTCATGAGCGGAAGATTCTTCATTAAACCCTATGATCCCATCAGCCACTACTGCCATGCTCGACTCTTCTTCTACCCGTCACGCAGAATCGGAGTTCCCAACCACTATTGCTGTCATTATCACCATTGTTATCACCTTCATGAGCATTGCAACTGTTGTGTTCAATTCCTGTTCTACTTGTCATGCAGAATAGGAACTCACAGCCACTGTCAATGTTGTCACCATTGTCATCATCGTGGCTGTCACTGTGGCCATGCCCTGTTGCTCCTCTACTTGTCACATAGAATGTGAACTCGCAGCCACTACCATTATTGTCACTACTATTGCACCTGGTTTCTTGCTCCTCTGATCCTTGCCCTCATCCTAGACCCTCTTCTCTCCCACGAGCCCTAATTCTTGCCAATTGGCCCCCTTTCTCTCCTCTCTCTCCCCTTAAATACCTCACATTGTAATGGCCTGATATGAGGCCTGATTGTGGCCCTATTGCAATTAATATATCGTTCAATCCATTAGTCACTTAAAAATCTCAAAGAATCTATTAAAAATTTAAACTAGCCTTCTTCTAATTTCCGTACATGTAAATGTAGTTTTCTCATCTATTAGAGTAGAATCAGCATTAAGTAAGAGTCTTTTTGATTTAATAAATGTAAATGTTGTCAAATATGTTAAATTTCATACTTTATGCATGTATTATCATAAATAATTTAAAATCTCATGGAAACAAGTTTACATATAAAGGACAGAAATAAAGCTTACGTTGGGAAATCTAAGTGACCTTAACTAAGTAAACTTTCACCAGATTTAATTTTCTGTCATTTTTCTAAACATTTTGGAGGAATAGAGCATCAATTAATTTTGAACATGGGCACACATCAAAGCTGGAAGATCATGGCTTGAAACTTAGTGACAACATCATCAAGTATTGAACGAGATCAAAATGTAGAGCAAACTATTTTTTCTTTAATTCTTTGTTTTTCATTTTGATATATTATTTGGGATGAAAATAATTAATATTGAGATTGACCATCATCTCTATGGTTGATTTGAATTCACCAATATTTTTACTTAATTGTTGTTTTGAATTCAGTTGATAACAATGACCAAAATGATATCATGGGTCCTTGTTGAAATATGGTAGACAATGAGCCTCTAGGAAACTAGTTTGCAATTGCTATGGTTTTCTGTTAAGGAGACAAAGAGTGGCCTAGATCATATGTCAACTTACCTTTGAGAATGGAATGACTTGAAATGAAATGATATCTTCATGAAATAGGCCAATGAGGATAAATTTTGCCACCAAGCATCAAGAAAGTGAACTTGATTCACATAAAATCCACCCAAGATTGAACTCTTGTTTAAACAAGACTAAATAAGGAAAAAAGTAAAATGAAAATAGTCTTACTAAGTTTGTGTGATAGAGGTTTTGAAAATCTTATGTATCACGTGGTGAACACTATAATATTGTAGGAAAATGAAAATTTGAATCTAAAAGATATTCTAATTTTTATGTTTGTTGAGCTGATTTAATTTCCATTTAACTGTCTATTTCTTCAGTTCATCATTCTTTTCTCTCAAGCCAATGTTAGAGACACCAACCACACCTTGCTCCCCTTTGCATCTTATCTTCATCTAGCCTTGCCCACCAACATATCCATGAAAACCCACTATGACCATTTACTATTGATCAAGGGTTTTTCCTAAAAAAAAGTATAACAAGGATCCTTGTTGCTCTGTGCACACTTGTTGAGCACTGGGTGAACCATCCCCAGCCAACCCCACATGATGACAATAGGTTGATCCTAATAACTCAAAGGTGGCTCATACATGGTTAATCAAACTTTCTATGTGAGATTAATTATCTAATCATTAGATGACACCATGCTCATGACATCATCAACTTCCCTAGTTTCTGGTCACCATATTATGGTGACTTGTGCATGTGCCTCACCATTGCATGTCAGCATTGTGATGATGTGCATTACTTTTGTGGTGTTCCACACGTATGCCATTAAAGCCTCATTATTACATGTTAGGATATGCATATTTGACATGGTTACAGCTTAAATATTTTAATAAGAGTACTAAAATAACAAAAATAACTATGAATATGAAACTAAAACACAAATTATCTACTTGCAGTGTGCTGCATTAGTGATGAAATAGGAAATGATTTTGATTTGAATCCTTTTAAAACTTGAGTAATCTATAAAATCAATGAATTATAACAATAGTAATCAAGTTAATATGCATCTTAAAAATTAAAGTTACAACAAGAATAATTAAAAAAATAAAATCAAAGCACAAACTTATCCATGTGTCACTTAGAAATAGAGTTTTGTCATGGTAAGAAAATGAAATGGAAAAAAAGTGGTAAAATACATCTTTAAATACTTAATCTTTTCATCCCCTTGTTTAGCACTTAGATAATTATTTTGAGTTATGCATTAACTCAATACTATTCTGATGATTTTTAGACATTAATGAAATCATAAAATTGATGATATGAAATGTAAACTTAATTTGAGATTGATATCCTAAACTAGATTAAAGAGTACAAATTATTAATACATATATTGAATAATTTCAACATAATAACTAAGGTTTACAAGGATTAGATTAATGATATAGACCATAGTAAATATATTTTTCTATTTTAAATTCTCATCAGGGATATAAGTGTTCTACTATGTGGGTGCAAATATAATAAATATTATGTGTGAAGTACATCTATTATAATCATATGTGCAAGCCTTAATATTTAGATTTTCTATTTCAAATGGCTTAACTAATACATGTGTATGAAACTAAAAAAGGTTCTTGAATAAGTCATCGAATGAAATAAATCTGAGAGAAAATTATCAATGCATTGATTTGTTATTAATTTTAGAAATTATTGAACTAATATTTCACCCAAAGACAAAATAGTCTAGAAGTTTGACCAATCTAATTAAAATGATTTTTATCTGAAAAAATGTCATTAGTACAAGCATGCAAGTATTCAATGGAAACTTGATTCAAAAGGAAATTCATAGCTAAAAACCACACACCCAAATTTAAAGTGAGTTATGACTTTTTCAATCTTTATAGTTTTTTGATATATTTTTCAATACATGACCCAGTAAGGTCTACTTATGCCCAATTGTTTGACTTGATAAGGGTAAAAAAAGGGAGATTCAACCTGACTCTTAAAAGGGACATTTCACCCAAATTAGGGGAACAAGAAAATACAAGATTTTTAGATGGCAATGACTGCTTTAATGGACGTTCCTCTTATCCATCACCTTGTTCTAAGCCACAAAGAATCAACGGCAAAATCAAATCATTTCAAGGGAGCTGTGGAGGCCATTCAAAGTTTTAGGTGCTGCCCCCCTCCCCAACACTTTTTAAGTTCATTAACTTTCAACACATCAAAATGATATTTGAAAGTTAGGAAAACTTAATTGTTCATTTGTTTGTTTTTTGATCCATAATGTGTGGACTAGTTGAGATAACTATAGTGGATTATGAACATAGTGTTATAGGTCATTGTGCCATCTGTGGTGTGCCTACAATGGAGGGATCTAAGATTGTTAGAGTTAGGCTTCAAGGTGAAGTGATCACATACAAAAAGAATAATACTCATATATTTTTTACTAAACTATTTATGTTGACTTATTTGTATGTGAGACTACTAAAATAAGCATTTACAATGGGGTGGAATCCTTAATTATCCATTACAAACTCAATGAAGCACCTAGCCAATATTCTGACAATTTGAAGACAATGGATGTTAATAAAGTTAACTTAAGTTCTCAATAATGACTAGTGAAAGAACAAGAGGGTCCTTATCTTGCCATTCCTCAAAAAATGCATGAAAACAAATATGACACAAATTTGAGGACGTAGGATCAACTTGCTCCAAACCTCTACCGATCGGGAACTTAAATTTCTGGTATCGTGGCACCTCCTTAGCCATCGAATCATCCTTTAAGGTCATGTGTGTGCTAAGTGGCATCAGATTTGTGAACCACCGATGGATCACTTTATGCATCTAGTATCATGGTGGTTTGTTAGCTACAGGATCTAGCTAATCTGATGATGTGGCTCACTACGTACTACTGGATCACACCACGCTCTAGATGGGTGTGCTGAAATAGATGAAAATGTTCAGTCCCACATCGGAAATATTTCGAACGCATGTGCCAAATATAAACCAAAGCTATGCTCTCTTAGTAGAGATCCCTTCTCTCAAAATAAAATAATGTCTAGGACCATCTTGAGAGAAGGAAAAAAGGTGGTCCACCCTCGTGTGTGCATGTGTGTATGAGCGCTCCTTGCCCCACAATTGGTTGGCCACTAGGACGTGGAAGGGGAGCGACACACACGTGCGCGGAG